GCCAGTAGCTAGCAGCAGCTTCCCTCTCCTTTCGTGCATGCCCTCCCAAAACCCCAGCTATCAATGAGTTTAGCCGGGTGCGCAACTGCCCAATTGGACCCGACTCCGTCAAGAAAGAGGCCCAGAGCTACCGGGTTTACCGTTGTGCTCGTGCCGCAAACCACGCAAGTGGGCTCGATTGCCATGGTCAAGTGGGGGCGAGGCAGGCGCTGCCCCGAGGGCCCCTGAGGTCTTCGCTACGGCCCGACGCAAGGCTGCCGGAAGTTCGGCTTCGCGGCCCGGCTTCTGTGGGTTCGGCTTTTGCTCGCCAGGGTGGGTGGTGACAGGGCTCAGCTTCCAGAACAGGCCTTTGTCCAGCGTTTGTTTGAACGCTGGAGTCCCGGTCACGGGTTCCGGAAGACGGGCGAAATTGGCTAGCAACGAGGTTCAACGTCGTCCAAGCCAATTATTGGACACGTCCTTCGGAGGCCGACCCTGAAACATTTCAAATTGGCCAGGAATCAAACGGCTAACCCCACGATCGTCCACGTCGCTAGCCAATTTTAGGGGTGGTGGATTACCCACATCTTTTTCAAGTCTTTGCCTCCAAGTTTCATGCTTGCCCCAGGGCTCGACTGCTTTAGGGTCTCTGCAAGGGACCTTCCGGAAACTCCACAATCTGTCGACTGAGGAATCTCGGAAAGTGGGGTTTAGAGGTTTAGGGGGGTTTCGGGGTTTAGTCTCGGCTCCTGGGGGCCCTTCACCCTGAAACATCGACTCCCTGGTTCTTAGCAGGGAATGGGGGAATGGATCCCTATGATAGTCCCTGAAGGTCCCGTATAGAAGTCCCAATAACCCATTCCTCCATTCCCTACTAAGAACCAGTCAGTCGAACACGACGCGCCAAAAACAGCCAGAGCTCGTGAAGGCGGACCAGTCGGCGCGGCAGCCGGAGCTGATACAGAAGCCTGCACACCGAGGCGACGGAGAATCTCGTGCCAACCAAAAAGAGCGATCGCAGGTTTGCCTAAGTGAGTCCACTACGCGCCATCCCAAAAAATACCCGTCTTCATGACCCCCACTGGGTTTACACCGCAAAGCCTTATAGAAAAAAATCCGGAAGAGAACCCAGTCGAAGCCCGAACACATCCGAACACTCGACCTGCTTCTGCTAAGCAGGCGCCCGGAGCCCCCCAAATCAATGTTGGCAGTTGAGGACGAAGGGCTTGGGGAGTACTTAAGGGGCGCCCTTAGACTCATAACGAGCAGAATATATTTTCATATATCCCTTGCAGCTTGTCTTGTCAGGTGTTGCGAAGAACACTACAGTGCAGAGTAGGGTTCAGGGTTTGGAGATTCGTCGAGGACTTAGGGCTCGCGGAGTACAAGTGAGGGCTTGAGGATGAGGCTTGCGGGCTTGGGGATTTGCCAGCGCTAGTCATCGCAGAAGAAAGAGAAACAGCTTACTGATGCCTTCAAGGAGGCATAGCCAATTGAGTCCGAACAAAACGGCAAAACCTGCGACTAAGTAGAGCCCTAAACCCCAACACTGAAAAACCTAAACCCCAAACCCTCAAAAACCCTAAGCCTCAAAAGCAATGCAAACGCTGCACCTGTTGACTTCGGAAGTTGGAAGGGCTTCAGTCAGATCGTCGGTCTGGTTCGTCAGCCGCCGGGTGTCCTGGGTGGTTTAGGAAGTTTAGGGCCGGTGGAGGGCTTAGGGTTTAGGGTCGTTTAGGGTCTTAAGGCCCTATAGGGGTCTGTCTTACGTCTCTTCAGCGGGTTTAGGGTGTAGAGGCTCCGTCATTATGTCTGGGGGTGCTTCTGGTACGCGTAGAAACCCGGACTTTTGAGACCTCCAGGAGGAGGCCCAAGGGCTCCCTTATAGGGTTTAGGAGTTATTAGGGCTTCTAGGGTTTATAGGGTTTAGGGTTGAGGGTTCAGGGATTCCAGAACCTAGTACGGAGACACCGAGGACCTTGTGGCGAAGCTTGAAACTGTTCTCACTACTGCGTAAGAGTATACCCCCCGCGAAAGTGTTTGTCTATCTGTTTGTTTTTCTTTCTGAGCATTCAAGAACTCCATGGTGTATGCCCTGTGTGTTTCTTTACTTGCTCACATGTGTACTGTTGAGTGTGCTAGTTGTTGCTTCTGCTCGTTTTACATGGCCCTGAACCCTGAACCCTAAGCCTATACCCTAACCCCTAAAGCTAACATGCCTGGACCAGAGCAACCTGGTCTCTGTTGCTCCACTAGGGGATGTGTGTCAAGCTGTGGGGTCGGTTGTGGAGCAAAACATTAAAGTAACCAGGGCCTGAATCTTTTGCACCATGGTTGTAGCACTGGGAAATGTCATTACTAACAGTTCAGCCCTGGATCAAGGCTTTGGGGTGTAAGGGCTGAAAGGCCTGCCGCCGGAAAGCGTTGCTGAATCAAACCACCCAAGACTCCGAAAACCCAATGATGTGGGGTTTAGGGTTTACGGTTCCATACGGTTGCACACTTTGGGAGTCTTCCCGGCTGATGATCATTCACTGCTCGTGCAGAAATGATAGTGAGAAAAATAAGATATGATAACCCGAACAATCACAGGACCACTTGTAGTCCAGTTCCCTCAGCACGAGGCCCTGCACCCGCCACCCCAAATTGAAGCCTGACAGCCTTCATTGGGGCCCGCAAGAACGCATGAACACGAGTCCCGTACTTGGGGTATAACGACAGCTGTAGGGCGAATTCAAGACAAGCTCCTCAAAACTCAAACCCTCAATCTCTTGGAGAACCAATGCGTCCGTGAGAACCCCAAACACAAACAAATGCAGGGATGCCTGGAAATTCTGATGATATCCTACAGCTCCGAAGCCCCGCTTTAGGAAAAATTCGCGTAGGGTGTTCCACAAAGTCTTCTGCAGTTAGGCATATTGTGCATTCTCGGTCACGCTTCACATAATCCCAGGATATCTAAGGTACGTGCTCCTGTTAAGGTGTACAGTGAACCCCAGAAAGTTGGAACATGGGTTTAGGATGACTAGTGCTGGAATCCCCTCTACTTTACCATAAGGCCATGAGGATAATGATAACTTCTTCCAGCAAACGACTCCTGGGTTTGCCGGGTACTCAAAGGTAGGGCCAGGGTTTGCGGTCCTAAGCCCTAAACCCTTAAACCCCTAAACCCCTAAAACCCCTAAACCCCTAAAACCCCCAAAACCGTAAACCCCTAAGCCCTAAACCCCTGAATCCTAAACCCGGTTCGGCTTGAGTTCGCCACCCTGCATCCCAAACCCGAATCACACGAGCCCTAAGCACGACACGCCCATGTAGCCTAAGACAGTGTAGGGTTTATGGCGAAGGATGGTTTAAGAAGAAGGAAACCAACCCTCTCAAAGATCTTATATACATACTATGCAAGTCAACCAGCAACTTCCCCGACCCTGAAACCCCGAAACCCAAAACCCGAAAACCGTAAACACCCAGAAACCATACATCCCCAAACGCTTAAACTAGGCATTTCTTGAAAAATGTGCCCTAAGCACGAAAGCCCTATCTCCTCTAAAAAGGTAAACATAGAACCCTGAACAGGAGCAGAACCTGAGGGACTCAGAAAACTATCCTAAGAAGGGCCTCGTCCTGCTAGCTACATCAAATAACGGTGCAAATTCAAAAATTAAAGCAAAACCCCAAACCGACACACTCAGCTAAGTTGGGAAAAGACCCCAACGTCAAGCAACAAACACCCTAAACATGCCTAAACCCGAAACCCTGAACCCCAAACCCTAAAGAGAGGTGGCCTGTTCAAGCTGCCGGGCCATGGCTTCCTTGCACAGCAAAGAGTGCAAACTTTAAGAGCAGCGCGCCGATACTTTCAGAGCTTTTGAGCCAGCGGGGTGTATGATTACGCTTGACGGTCAGGGTTTCAGAGTTTCAGAGTGGCGCGTATTTCTCGGTATTCTAGAGGTTTTCGCACGAGTATTTGCACCTAGCACTTGAAGGATTTATTGCCTCGTCCAGATGCTACAACAGACACAATTGATCCGCTATTCCCATATTGGAATGACTTAAGACTTGTCTGCGATATCGAACAAACTTCTATAGATGCAATCGCAAGAAACGTTCGAAAGAGGTCTGCGGTCGAGGACGAAGGGTATGGCCTCGGGATGCCACTTGAAAGCGAAAACAAGAACACACGAAAATGCACGCCACCAGGGCGTGATGTTCTGTAGAGTTTAAGGTTGTTTGAGCTCCTTTCTATGCCCGCCCATCCATCTGAGTAAGCATAAGGCCCATCGGCCCGGAGATGTCGAGGGCTTACGCCTCGCACAGTACCACACCCCTCAGTTGCCACCCTGCTCGAGCTTGTCACGACTATCTCCACGTCAACCCAACATGATCATGTGATTGCGACGGGCTACCAGTGCAGTGGGAGCTCGAAATCCACCCTCCACCCTGACTCAAACCTGGAGAGGTATATCATAAGGTCATATACCATATAACAAGATAACAAGAAGTCGTATAGACTTAATACAAGAGCCACCGCACATGGTACAAACTCTCCACGGTTGAACGGGCAAATTCAGTCCCTTTCTCGCTTCCGCCTCGCACTGTTCAACGTTGTCTTGAGAAGCCGCCATGATGCAAACATGACTCGCCAGGAATGCGTCACGAATTGGCGGAGCTGGCGTAAAAGGGCTTTTAGGGTTAAGTTTACAAGGCGAGAGCGATGCGGAAGCCGGTGGCGTTGAGATTTTTGGCCGTGTAGTCTCTCAGCGGAAGCTGCAATCGGATTGTCAACGGGACCGACTTTCCAGGGCTTCTGGCGTGAAACTTCTGTGGGCCCAGGGAGAAACCTTGTTTTTGGAAAGACCTTGGGACTCGGGACCTGAATACTTCGACAGTGGCTTAAGAAATTGACATTATACATGATTCAGAGTTGGTCTACGGCTTCTGGGTACTTCATCCTTGCATATACTGATGCACTGATATACTAGTATCAATAGGATAGTACTAAAATAGTAGGTAGTATGATATTATGATGCTGTTACTAGATTTAGGCCCTGGCGGCCACTATTGATGCACCGCTGAACGGAGTAAGGAAAACAAACGAGCCTGTTCTTTTGTGTTACTCCCTGTGCTCCCAGCATCGACTGATGCACCAAAGTGCTGGCCTTAAAAATACATCTCGACGACAACATGGTTGAACTTCCGAACATCTCCGAGTGCCTCTCACAGGAAAGCGGGGCTCGAAATTGCAAGCTGCAAACACTCCGTGGCCGCCTGGCCTTTCTGCCCTCGTCCCCGATCTCGTTGAATCGGAGGTTGACGTGGGTGACCGTACGGTTGGACTTCAAGGCATCTGCGAGCGCCTCTCAGGAAAAAGCCGGGGTCGAAATTGCAAGCAGCGAAGACCCTGTGGGCCCCACCTGGCCTTGGCACCCTCGTCGCCGATGTAGTTGAATCGGAGGTCGATGTGGGTGACGGAGTGATTGGACTTCCAGGCATCTGCGAGTGCCTCTCAGGGGAAACACGGGGTCGAAACTGCAAGCTGCAAAGACCGCGCGGGTACCGCCTGGCCTCGGCGCCCTCGCCTCCGATCATGTTGTAACGGAGGTCGACGTAGGTGACCGTACAGTTGGATTTGAAGGCACCTGCGAGTGCCTCTCAGCGGAGACCCCAGGCCGGGCTCATCATACCGGTCTAAGGCTAAAAAATGTCCCTGTGGGCACCGCGCCTGGCAGCCCTCGTCTGTGATCTGCTGACCATGAAGGTCTAGATGGGTGGTACCGCCCTTGGTCGTCAGCTGATACGCGAGGGCCTGGCACGGGAACCACAGTGCATCTAAGCACGTCGGACTCTGCCCGGAAAACGGCACAGCAGTCCTTGATGCGCACTTTCCCCGTCCAAGCCTCGGCGGAGCTCCGCTAAGCATCGTTGGAGAAGGCTCATTTGCGGCTCTGAAAGTGCAGTCCTGCCGTCCTGCCCTGCCCCGCCCCTCCCGACCACCCTCTCATGTGTAACGGGTTGTTGTTTCGTTTTTTGTGGGCCCCACGAAGGGTACTCAGGCAGCGGATGCTCTCCAGAAGAACCATGCACTTGCAATCAGCCACGGACGTCAGTGTGTAAACACATCGTGACCTCATCGCTGGGACCCACCCAGCAAAGGCCTACGGGTACGCAGTGTGCAACACGGATTCGGGTCACTACTCCCTCAAACATCATCTGCCTAGGCAAAGTGGCACGCAGGCCCGGCCAGAACCTGCAAGGCCTCGGCCACCTCGCCCCGGCTGATGCGCACTCCAAGGTCTCTGCCTCTTTCGTGAGTTTGTAAACCAGTTCCGGCAAGAGCCTGCTGTCCCCGGAGTTCCGGACGTGCTGAAGATGCGTATGCCGTAGACCCGGGCGTACGATGCACATAACAAAGCATCAGGAACAGTAGGCAGGACCCCGCAATTTCAAGGATGCTAGGGCTGCTAGGGCCCCG